CTTGACATTCAAGACAAGCAGCAATGCACTTTCTGCAGAGCTTTCAGATCCTACAGAGGATTCAGCTGCTGTGTGCCCTGTATTTCATTACAGAGCAGTTTAATAATAACTGAGTCTGTTGGGAAAATATCAAGATTGTATTTTCCCTCCCAATCCCTATTTGTATCGATCCCCAGCAATGAGACAGTCTCACTCACTGCTGTATATCATGTGTACTTAGACCTGACAAGAAAACTTTAAAGAACAAGAGAATCATCCTTGCAGCTGCTAAACTCCGGAGAAGCCTCAAAAATAAATAAATGAATAAATTAGGACGTGAGGTGGGAGTGAGTGGCTGTTTCGGCTGCATTTGAGCACTGAGCAGCTGGTTGTTTAAGGGAGAAAAAAGATAAAATGGACGGGGTGGAGGGTGGGGGGGAAGAAAAGCCAGACAAGAGAAGCCATAATTCACTTGGGAACGGTACTGAGCAGAAAAAACTCATTGAGGGTCAAGAAGCCTCATATTATCACCCTTGTTAATTAATGTTTGCACAGCACTGTGGAATGTAAAACATTGTGCATGTGCTGAGCCTCATTAACGTGACCACGGGCAGGCTGTGATTGTAGTTAGAGCCCTAGGGATTAGTTTGCGCTGCTCTACTCCAGGTCCACAACACTCCTCTTTTAAATGGAAGCTCATTCTGTGAGCATAGGTGGTGAGTTACATGGGCCCATGGTGCCCAGGCACCAGGAATACTTCTGGCTTGGGAGCCTGGCTCCACCATATTTGGGAGCCAGTTCTCACCCCCAGCCTCTATCTGCTGCCCCCACATGATCCCCCCGGTGTGTTTCCTGGCCCTGCCTGCCGGTCCATGCGAAATCGCGCCCCCTGGCCCACCAGCTGCCCCGCCATGATTTAAGCTGCCACTGCCACCAGCAATGAATCAGGGCTAGAGCAGCTTCTTGCTGCTAAATTCATGCGGCTACTGGCTCATTCCCGCAGCCCCAGGATACATGTGTGTCTCCACAGGCTAACCACGCTCTGAGTGCCCCTGCGGCCAATGGGAAGCTGCAGGGACGGTGCCCGTGGGCAGCAGTGCAGGGAGACTGCCTAGCCCCGCAGCCTCGGTACCCCAAGTAAGCGCCTCACTTCTCGCCCTCTCTCCCACGTCCCCTCGTGCTCCTCATTCTCTCCCACAGCCTGGATCCCCTCCCCCACCTTCTCCCATCCACAAACTCCCCCCACGCCCAATTCAGCCCCCAAACTCCCTTCCAAAGCCTGTACCCTTCACCCCCTCCTGTACTCCCACAGCCTGACCTAGCCCAGAGCCCAACCCCTGACACCTCTGGCATCCAAACTCCTTCCAGGAGCCCGCACCCTGCACCCCAATCACCTACCCCAGCCAGAGCCTGCACCCAGCCCCCAAACTCCTCCAAGAACCTTAGGTAGGTGGGGGGGGGGGATATTTGGAGGGAGAAGGGTGCAGGTTCTGGGCACCATCAAAATTTCTGCAAACCTGCCACCCCTGTCTGTGAGATCTCATCATTTCCAGCTTGGGGCTGGGAATTTCTTTCCCACCCTTTTCGACTGGAAGCACCAAGCAGAGCTGATATAAGACAGGCTATCACTTCTTTCTATGAGCTCATGGATACAAGGCTCCTTCTGGGAACCTGTGTTTAATAAATCTAGAGAGGAGAGTGAAATCAGGCCTTTGTGGATGACTGCAGCTGAGATTTGTGGCTGACACCACAGCCCCTCTGCCGCCTTCTAAACCACGTGACTAACCCTAATGCACTGGGATCTTCCACTGCTTTTCCTGTATGCACAGGGACTGAATGTTTCTCTGATAGCAGAACAGGGACACACACACACACTACTGCTTGGAATCCTCAGAGGCGCTTATGACCAATGGAAAAAAAGGCGCCGATGGTTTAAGGCTGCCAAAGAAGCAGATCCTAATGTCTGCATTTACACCGATGCAGCTCTCTCAAATGGGACTCGCAGCCCCATCCCATCTCAGAGTCTGGGGAGACATTAGGAAAATCCTGGAGCTCAGGATGTGGAGCTCAAACAAAGGACATTAGAGCCCAAGAGCCCAGAGCCAAAGAATGAGCAGAGGCACCTGATCAGATAGAACCGCCTCTGCAGTAGACGTGGCTTCCGATACTCGGATGCTATGATTTTCAGTGCCACCAAGGGGATCCAATGCCTAATTCCCATTAAAAATAATGCTGTATCTCAGCCTTGATTAGAGGATGTACCAGCGTGCATGGGATGGACAGCGACTGGATCAAGGATACAAGAACAGATATTCCTCTCCAAACTGTCTTCATTCAGTACAAATAACTATCCTCAGCTGCTGCCCTATTGGACCATTGTAGCCAGGATAACTTAGAACAGCCTTCAAGTGGCTCAGGGTGCGGAGAACAGAGACTTAGCATGACCCTCCTGACTCCAGGTGCATGAAGTGTAAGCTCTGACTACAGATTATTATTTTCATGGAAGAAAATCAGACTTTTTGGAGAGGGCTCTCGCCTCCCTGCAGCCCTCTGACATCTCCAAAAAGTTACATCTCAACTTTTCATATTGAATCGGGACAGGAACAAAATGCCAAAATACTGGACGTTCCATTTTCCATTCAGCTCTTACAGAAGCATTTACCCCAACTCCCCATACTATAGAAGTTCTCCAACCCATACACAGCCACACTCTTCACGACACTAATCTTACAGCATCCTCAAGCAACTCCAATTAGTTTAGTTTTGATTGCGAGAAGCTGATTGCAGCTCTGAGTTCTACACAAATGGCAAAGTTTTGCCTTTGGGCAAATTCTAATCAAGCCAAATTATTTATATGGCTGTGCCCTTTAAATGCTTTTTTTTAATGAATGTTTATGTATGGTCTATCATTCAGCCTTTACTGAAGCCTCTCTCCCTCCTCCACTTCATATTGCCTACAATTATGGCTTAGAAAGGAGAAATCACGCTGAAGAATAGCTATCTTATTCATTCCCATTCCAAATGCAGTAAGACTTATTTATTTATAATAGAGGGAAAAGTGCTTTTCTATTTGCATGCTCGATACAATAGTTGCACTACTCGTCATTAAACTTAATTGCTAAATTTGGTTTTAGTAAGAAGAGAAAAGATGAGAGCAGAGCTACTAGTAATGGGAATATTATAATTAGTCCTCTATCTTTGGTATGTTACACAATGTGTCAGATTTTTTGGGGGTTATGAATTTAATCCATCTTCATTCATAAGAATATGTAACGTGAATTATTGCTTCTATTTTTATATATGCAGAAACAATAGGCTTCTCTCACGCTATTTCTATTACTGTCCTTTGTTGAGCATAATTTGAAAAAAAAATCCTTTGAAAATATTCACATTTTCCTATGCATTCATTATGATGGAGGTTTCTTGTAACATTTTAATGCACCAGTTAAGACCTTGCATAAGAACGTCTACAGTGAACCAGACCAGTGTTTCTCAACCAGTGGTATGAGTACGCTTTAAGGTACTTGAGAGAAGTCTGGGGCGGGGGTGGGGGAGGGGTCCATCAACACAATTGAAATTTGGAGAAAACTGAATTTTTGTGTTAAGTTTTACAGCGCTTTATTATTTTTGTACTTTTTACACCCAAAAATTTCGTCGCTCACCTGGCTACGATTAAGTTGTTTAAACAAATGTGTTGCAATGGTAGAAAAAAATGTTGTGTGTCTGAAAACTATAGGTACTGGGAGTACTTATAATTGTTTTTTAAAGGGGGTACTTTATAAAAAAGGTTGAGAAACACGGGGTCAGACCAATGGTTCATCTAGCCTAGTATCCTGTCTCTGACACTGGCCAATGCCAGGTGCTTCAGGGAGAATGACAAGAATAGAAAATCGAGTTGCCTGTCCTCTGTCATCCACTCCCAGCTTCTGGCAATCAGAAGCTAGGGACACTCAGAGCATGGTGTAACATACCTGATCATCTTGGCTAAGATCTACAGATGGGCCTATCCTCCATTAACTTATCAAATTATTTTTTAAGCCTGGTATTGTTTTGGCCTTCACCGCCTTCACCGCCTAACTGAGTCAACTCACTTAGACTATGTCTACAGTGCACAGTTATTTCGAAATAAGCTACTCTGGAATAGTTATTCTGAAATAGCTTATTTCAAAATAGCACGTCTGCACAGCAGGGAAGCCTCAAAATGAGTCCGAGGCAGGCTTCCATAATGTAGACGTTCTATCTCGATTTAGATCCCCAGGAGACATTGAGGAGGAATAAGTTAGAATGGCCCTGGTGAGGGGCTATTTTGAAATAGCAGAATTGGAGCATCTACACAGACCCTAAACTGAAATAAGTATTCTGGAGTAGGTGTTAGTCTTCATAGAATGAGGTTTACACAAGTCGGAATAAGCCTCCCGTTATTTTGAAATTACTTTGAAATATGCTATTGCTGTGTAGATGCTCGCATAATTATTTTGGAATAACGGCGGTTATTCTGAAATAACTTCACTGTGTAGACACACCCTGTGTAGATATCAATGGAAGTAGCAATTTTTTATATCTTGACTGAGTTTGGTCCTAGGTTTGCGTCTGTCATATGGGTTGCCTAATAGGGAACGGAGAGCAATAGAATGCAATTAAGAAAGGTAAAATCAGGCTTAATTTCAGGGGGAATGTCCTAAGGATGAGATCCCACTGGTAACATCTCAGTCTCCTAGTCAAACTCCATCACTTTTCAAATTAGACAGGACAAAGCATTGAAAGATTGAATTAACAAAAAATTCTGACACTGGCTCAGCAGGGTTTTGCCTGAATGTGACCTGAATCCCCCTCTAATTTCTACAGGCCAAAGCCTACTCTCATTTAAACCAGAACACCAGACTAACTTCACTGAAGTCAACAATATTACTCTCAGTGCTAAGAGCAGAACTGGCCCATAGACTGCGTGCATGAATGCCTTTTCTTGTCCTAGCTGCGTGCATGAATGCCTTTTCCTCCCAATCCCTTCTCTCTTCTCCAAGGTGGTCGGCGAGTGGAGATTTAGCCGGATCCACTGTGACATCTTTGTCACCCTGGACGTGATGATGTGTACCGCCAGCATCCTCAACCTGTGTGCCATCAGCATTGACAGGTGAGATCTCCCTGGGGCAGGAGGAAGGTCCTGTTCAGCTCGGTGTGGCTGGCAGAAAGGTGATATACACAAAATCTCTTCGTGTACATGCTTCTGCTCACATGGGTCATGATAACGGTGAGAAGGTGCAGTAGGCAGCATTGCTGCCCTCTTGTCAGAGGAAGGACATTGAAAAGCACATCCAATGGGCTCCACCCTCAAACTTTCCCATGCAAGTTGCTGCACAGGTGAGACAGTGGGCTCATCCTGGATTGGACATCTGAGTTCCTTGAGGTGTCTTCGCGCAAAACCTGCCCCTGTGATCTCTTGGGAACAGTTTTCCAGGTTTACTAACTGCAAATGCGCAGGTGGCCTTTCAGCACCGGCAGGGAAATAACATGCCCGGTTTTTGTCTCCGTGCTGCATGCAGGTACACAGCTGTAGCAATGCCAATGCTTTATAACACCCGCTACAGCTCCAGGCGCAGAGTCACTGTCATGATCTCCGTGGTCTGGGTCCTGTCCTTTGCCATCTCCTGCCCACTTCTGTTCGGTCTCAACAACACAGGTGAGCATAGTGTCATCTTGCAGCTGGCTATTGTACGGGTTTTCATGCGCTCTTCTATCTTAGTGGGTCCCAGAGATGATTGTGTTACTGGGGAAGGGATTAACATGGGTGAATACTAAGAGATAAGAGTTAGGTTTGTGCACACCTTGCCAATCCAACAGCCCTCAATCTGTTACATCTCCCTCTATACCAGGCCTATATCCTCCAACAAATCAGGGTTGATGTTTGTTCTCAGGCTTCTGTAGAAGAAATGTGCAAAGCGCTCTTTCAGCACCCAAAAGGAAGAGAGAACCTTATGTCTTAAAATCTGCCCAGTGATGGGCATCCTACAAATAACCAGATTGCTCCATTTGCACCGCAGCGGAAGAGACATTCAGTAGCCGCTATTTAAGGAAACAGAATGGGCGATGGTATGGGAACGACAGAGCCTTGCATGTACAGGTCACTGCTCTGAGTTTGGGTTGGTCGCAGAGGGTCACTCGCCACTGCTAGACTCACCTCTTGGTGATCCGCTCGAAGGGAGCGTGTCTCCGCACAGGGGGTCATGAGAGCTCACTGCTGCAGTTGGGTGGCTAGCTAGAGAATTTTACTCTCCCAAGCCAGCCCTTATGCCTGTACCAACTGCCTGAGAAATAAACCTCTTTTCCCTTGGATTAAGGCTTGGCCTGAGGCAGAGGTCTCCAACCTTTTAAAGTGCAAGATCACTTTTCCAATTTAGGTCAATCCAGGATCTACCTCAAACCCAAATATCCTTGTGCCACCTCCTTCCAGACCCCTTCTCCAAAGCCCCGCCCTGCTCATTCTGTGCAGATGGGGGCACAGAGGCGGGGGGAAGGGAACACCCTAGCAACAATGCCTTCCCTCTGCTATCTCCCCCACCCTGAGCAGCAAACAGAAGCCCCCTGGGGGGGCAACTCCAAGGCATTGGCCAGGAGCAGCACAGCAGTGGGGGGGAAGGGCAGCTGACGTGCTCTAGCTCTAAGCCAAACTAGTCCGGATCCCCTGTCACGGTCTCCAAGATCTGCCACTAGATCCTGATCTACTGATTGGTGACCACTGCCCTGAGGTTTTCAAATGGGCCCAGGGGACTGAGATTCCCAGCTCTCATGGAGAATTGGGGCTATAAGTCATTGTGACGATCCCTCTCTTGGTTTGGAAATTATTTCTGGAGGAAGATGGGGGAGCAGCAGTTCCCATCCTCCAGGGGGGTTCCTGTCATGAAAGAGAGAGAGAGAGAGAGAAATGCTGGTTCTAGTGCCTAACGGTTGGGACAATGCTCCTGCCATCTCTTGTGTCTTCCAGACAAGAATGAGTGTATCATTGCCAATCCTGCCTTTGTTGTGTATTCCTCTATCGTCTCCTTCTACGTCCCCTTCATTGTCACCCTGCTGGTATACGTACAGATTTACATAGTGCTCCGGAAACGCCGGAAGCGGGTCAACACCAAGCGCAACACCCACGGCCTGGACTCAGACACTCAGGCCCCGCTGAAGGTAACCAGGCCCTGTCTGGCTTCTCCTAACCACCATCTTCTTTCTCTCCTGCTCCCATACACTCCCTATCGTTGCCCCCATTCCCTCCCAAATGATGCTGTTTGGTCTGGATGGAAAGGTGGACTGTGCGGATGGATATTGCATCTTATGACTTCGGGGAGTCCCCGGGGAGGTCTAGGTTGGATAGTAGGAAAAACTATTTCACTAGGAGGGTAGGGAAGCACTGGAATGAGCTCCCTAGGGAGGGGGTGGAATCTCCATCCCTAGAGGTTTTTAAGTCTCGGCTTGACAAAGCCCTAGCTGGGTTGATTGAGTTGGGTTGGTCCTGCTTTAGGCAGGGGGCTGAACTTGATGACCTCCTGAAGTCTCTTCCAGCCCTGGGATCCTATGATTCTATCTCCAAACTCTCAGCATTTTGCTCAAAAGCCAGGTTCTAATCAAGCAGGGTGGTCTGGAGACAGAGAGATGGGGATGGAATGAGGAGCTACAAAGATCCTTAAAGTGCCTTTCTCATGGGGAGAAAAAAGTGGAGTCCCTGGGAACTACCATCATTCACTTCTTGGCATAACTTTCCAGACTCCTT